GAATGAATCTGGGAAATGCAAAGCTAAACACCTTTATGACCGTAGATATCCTTGACACGACTCTTCTTTCAACGCAACGTCTCGATTACATAATGACTGAATGACCGAGTTATCTGTGGCGAATAAATAAAAAATAAATTTAGTGAAACGTCATCGTTTGTACGAATCTCAAAGGCACTAACAGAAGAGCATTATCTTTTTGAAGACGAGAGGCGAGGAGGAGGAGGAGGAAAAGAAGGAGAAGGAGAAGGAGGAGGAAAGGGATAGATTTATATCTCAATCTCTACTCATTCTCACGCTTAACTTTAATTCTCCAAATTCTTAGATATTAATTCTTAGACCTCAGATCTCAGATCTTAATTCTTAATTCTTAAGATCTTAAGATCTTAAGATCTAATTACGTAAGGTTTAAGGTTTGAGGTATAACCTTATATAATAATAATAGTAAATTTCAGCCAAATCGATAAACAACAAAAATGACTCTATTTAGGTTTTCGAGGTTAGCGCAAGTTGAAATTTACCAATAATCACACGGTGATTGGATTATGTCAGAAGTCACACGATACGATAAATCTGTTAATTATGTTAATAAAAAGACCTGTCATTAGCCTTGCGTGTTACATTTTTATGTACAGTATAACTGTAACTTTCTATTCTCGTTTGTCTGCTTTTATTTTTACAAATTAGGAAAGATGCATAAGCGCAAACGCGACAGAGTGACACAAGCTACAACAAATAGCAAATATAAAAAAATATCAGCCTTCAAATAGCGAAGTTTAAGGCAAGAAATCCCCTTTGATATTAATATGATTGACGACATGACCTCACACCAGATTTAATTTATTTATAACTTTAGTCGAATACAATATCTCGATGCATATTCGGTTGGTACTTTTTAAGAGTACATTAATGATTAGATAGAATTGTTTGGCGTCAGTCTGCAAAGCAACCAGCAGTCCTCACTTCGCCGACAGGTCAGCTAACGATAGTTGGTTCACCGACAGCAATTATTTCGCAAAAGTATAATATGTGAACAAAGTTAGTTGTAATTACGAGTTTAATAACTCCAACGCTTCCGTCATATAAAATAGAATTAATTAATGGAAGTTAAGGGTTCTCGACTCCACATCTACCAGATGGGACACAAATATGCATTTTTAACAGTGCACAAAAAAGGTGGGACACCAAAGTTAACTATTATAGAAATATATATTATACTTTGATGGGTCCCAAGTACATAGTCACTCTCGATAGGCTGGACTCCGACTTATCGAATTTCATAATATTTTATAAAAAAAGTGCTTTATTTAAATATATGCAATAGGCGAATATCGAATATTTAACTACAAAAGTATCTATAGTAATAGATGTTATACACAAATTCATTGTTTACAAAACTTTCCAACATGAACTGCTTTAGAGAAACATAAGTCTTTAATCCTGAGATTACTGATACATTTACTTTTACATCAGTAAATATTTGAACGCAGATTTATTTGATACTGTATTGCATTCTTTCCTTCCCCTTCCCTTTCCCCGTCTTCTTCCTCTCACTTCAGCAATTGTATTTCCTTCGTCTCAAAAATATCCGCTAGTATCAATGTTAATGGAATCGCTCGTTACAATATCGTCCACGTGCATTTGATGCATAAGCGATTGGACATCATCTTCGACTACTAATTTATTTTCTAATCTTCCGATAATCACGTTCTAGATCAGTAATATTGCGTTACAACATCAATACAGCAATATTGTCTGCGATGAAATTATTCTTAGCAAAATCATTAGGTAATTAATTGTATTGTATTTACTAAAACGGTAAAGGTTATTGCTCGACAATTATTTATAAACCGAGTGAAACATTACTATTACGGGTTTATCGCAATTTTATATATGTCCGACTTGATGAATTTTTTAAATATTGAAAAAAGGGGCGGAAAATTTTGTCCGAGTTAAGCCCCGACTTATCGAGCGTCCCACTTATCGAGAGGATTATAGTCGACTACTCACAGTCACCATACAATAAATAGCCATGCCATTAGAATCATACAAGCAATTAGATCATACTATTAAAGCACTAGACATGCTATTATTAGAAGAAACAAGTCGATTCTCTAAGACAAGCTACCAGTAAACGGTTTAATTAAATGTACGTGATTTTCGATAAGTCGGCCATTTGAGATGGGATACTGTTGGCCGACTTATCGAGACTGACTGTGTACCAGAAAACCAATCCAAACGATGATGCTTTTGTTCATTATCGATCGACGAATTAACGTATTCTAATATTACACACAATCTCGATATCGAAACAATCTATCCTATAAAAAACTGCAAAAAAACAAAGCAACTCAAAATGCTTGCTTTCATTATTCAATTCTTCTGCGGGTTGCTGATCGGACTTACCCTCGCACCATTATAAAACATATATTCAACTCTACGATATAAATCAAAATCTCGAAATAATAATTCGAGCAATCGATTTAAAAGCCAGTAAGCTGCTCAGCAAACGTAAATACACAGAGGACGTTGAAATTCTGTGGAAAATTTTTAAAAATTTATTTGATACAAAATCTGAGCTGGACTCGGACTTTCATTTACCAAAGTGGCCACTCAAATCCGCAAGTTATGTGGGGAGTACAGGATAAGGAAAATGATAATTCTTAATAATGATGATAATAACATGTAGCGTAAATTCACTAGCGCGACCGAAGTGTGTAGGGAGTCTCATTAATAGCTTTGGGTCCGAGTATCTCCTCCCATGCAATCGCTCTAGTGCATCTTATACTGATAAGGACGAAAAAAATATATCTCTGTTAACATCTCGTCATCCATATACAATCTAGAATCAGACATTGCGGAAGATAAAGAGGACACCAACATGCGATGTATCTCTTTGCTGCTACAGCTAAGGCAACAACAGAATTACTCCACTCAAAATGTCCAAAATTGCTGGACTGGCCCTCTAATAGCCCAGATCTCAATTCCTATGGATTATTATGAAAAAAAAGAGTTGAAAAAAAGGTGAATAAATGCTTGGCCACAAAAAAAAAGATAGCAGTAGATGAGTTCAAAGATTTTATAAAGGAAGAATGGGAGTCAATTGATAAATCGTTTCTACTTAACTTAGTTAATAGCTGCCTAGACGTATTGGTGATGTAATTACAGGGAAAGGAAGCAGAATCAAAAGTTAAAATTTTACACATATGTTCATCATATCTTGAATAAAGTTTATATTTCAAATAATCCAGCTGTTAGTTGTTGAACTGTCAGCTAATTAGTAATTCTCCTTACTTTTGCACAGCACTGTATGTATTTTTAATAGTGAACTTGTATGCTCGGCACAAAAAAAGTGGGACAAAAATATAAAAAAATATAATACGTTATTGCAGTTGACTATATTTTTTCCAGCTAATGCAAATAACAATAAACAATACAAATGTACATTGTTGGCTTTTGCGATTTATGGCGATGTATTCACATCCGCGTCGTCAAAAAAATTGTCGCGGGTGATTTCACTCTTTTCTTACAGCAAGGACTTGCTATTGTAAATTCGTTATCATAGTCGAGTATTATTTATTTTTTCTACCACGCTTGTTTTAATATCCAACCACGTTCTGGAGATCAAATAATGTGACGACGCAAAAACGTAAAATTATCCTAGGGTAACTAGCTTCGCTAAATGTTTCGCCAAGTGCTTTTACTATTTTTTACTAATCTACATGAAATATATTACCGTTATAAGGGTAACTGCAAGTAAAACGTTTATCTTACATTCGATGCCAGTTAACAATGCAACTAAAATTTATCCATGAATTCAGACGCCAAGCAAGACTTTCCAAAACATGGCAGAAGTTTAAACTTTCCCATAGATTCTTATAAGTAATAAATAGCACAGAAAAATATATTTTATGCTTGAATACTTTGAGATAATTTCACTGTTGTTTTGAAGTCAGTATACAAATAAGGAGTTAGCGCTATGTTGAATCAATCGAACGATTCACGGACTAATATTAATGTTAGGCAATTAGCGCTTAGAAAGACTAAAATTATTGGTTTTTTACTTGTATTTGAACTTATTTGAGACAATTAAAATGTCTTGCAACATTATTTTTAAGAATGCCTCAGCATAAGATACGCGGTTCGATTACCATAGATCGCACTTGGTGTTTTGACTTATCAATATTTCAATCAATTGTAGGCAATTGGAAGAACTTTCTTCGAGGCACAGAACGACGATGGGCTAGAAAAAATTTGTGATACCTTGATGTTACTAGCCCTGGTTCGTGTAACCAGATCGATTGCATGTCAAAACGCGTTACAACAACATTCCCGCGTTCTTAAGAAATTAAACTTTACATCCTGCTCATTTTATCAGATGGTAATGGATGCAAAAATCTTAAATTTCGCACGCAATAACGACTATAACCAACTTCGTGAATATATCAGCGATCATGAAACTACCGAGGTTTGCATTTTACGTAAATCGGTAATAAGACAATAGAATGATTATTGACAGCTATCTGTGCGTCGAAATAAGATGACTCAAGTCGTTGCACGATATTTGAACGACGAAAGTCTTCTGACGGGAGATGAAAGAGATTGCTTTACGGTTTTACGATCAATACTTAAAGGTATTGTTCACTTGTATTAATTGAATATTATTTATACAAGGAAATCAAAGTCGCAATAATTGCGCCTTGTGCTTACCAATTGATTATCGCGTACTGTTTAGCAACACCACCTGACAGCGACAAGAACAAGGCGAGAAGATCAGCCATTTTGATGACTATTGTTAAATGGTATTTAATTCATTAATTCATGAAATAAGATACTTTCCCGAACATCTGTATCAACGTACATGCTTTTTTTGTAAAGGCTTGATGTGAAAGGGAATCACGTTTCTCAGTCAGTTGATAAGGCCATATCTGAAATTGTCGATCTACTGGACAGCGAGGTATGATCAGTTAACTTAATATACTTTCAATTAGTAATTCCTTAATTATCTTGTATTCATATGCTATTTGTTTACATACATGCTTTCAGATCGATGGGTTCCAAGTGACATCAATGATCGAGGCAACGAACCACATAATCGATTCTATAAATCAAAACAGACCGTTGCATTCGAAACTACTCGCACTCATTCCTAAATTTCTGTCCACTTTGGATACATTTGAATCGGTTACGATACGTACGGCAACTGGGACGAGGAGTTTCACTGGAACACAATATAGGGATATCATCCTGAACAGAATATGTCTTGCTGAATGGCACATTGAAAATGTGCTGAGTATTATCAGTATGTTTCCGGACATACCAATGTCAAAAGAGACGGTCAGTGGAGATGGATTTATTTATGTTAATTGTTGTATAGGACAGCTGATGCAATTCATTGGTATCTTGCTTGGACATATAGGCTGAACGTGCTGTGGATAAAGTGATGAGGTATCGTTCTTGTTGGCAATGTGACGAGACATATGATGTAGACCATCATTAATATGCTAGTACATTGTTACATTCTATGTAGTTATTTCGATGACATGGATGCGAACGAGACTCCTCCTATCGTGTACAAACTGCTTCTACTTTCAAGAAAGGTATTACGGCATTAGAAGAATGTTATTAGTTCCAAAATCCGAACTTAAATGTCACGTCCTCTGTCTACAATAGGATCACAAGCGCGTAATTATCAAGGGCATTACGTCTTATTATAGTAAGCTAGATGATAGATTGCGTGAGAAACATACAAGGTAAAGAATGTAATACCTATGAACGCGCTGTGTAAAGACTCGTTTCGATAACTAATTTAGCATAACACCATAAAAGTCATGTAGAAATTACGCCGTCATCTTCAACATTCTCGCAAGTGAGCCATATTGAAGGAACAGTGCTGATTCACCTCTGTTTCGCCGTCAAACAAGACCAGGTATCAAAAAGAGAGAATTCTTTATGGGAGAATTGCACAATTTACGTATATTGATTCGCTCAACATCTACTACAATTATTTATAGGAATTGGGCGTCGAACTTATCAAATACATTAAATCAAAAAAATCGTCCGCTTTGACTCCATTTAATCTCGCTTGTTTGTTGTCAGTAGCAAGAATACATAGATTTGAGGATACGGTTAGCAACCAATAATGACATGCATACTTTACGTAGATTAGAGCGTATAACGCCATCTCTTTTTATTCAAACAGATACTTGATTATCTGAAATCAACCATTACTGCTACATTTAAAGACAAAGAGAGACTGGAAAAATCCCCATGGATAAGCGGTGCGACATTTGTTTAATAATGCAGATGGTTATTGCTTTATTTCCATGTAACTAATATGTTAATTCTTAACATTAGCTCTCTCAATCGTTGATACATCTGCGCCTATCCTGCAGATATTCTCTGAGCTTATTAAAAAGACTGCTTATGGATGGGATCAGACGACACAGAGTCTGATTCAATTGGGAGTTCTTCTTATGGATTCAACTGGTTCAGCATCACTCAATAGAAAAGGTATTTTGTAATAATGATGTTTTGTCGCATGGATTTGGGACAGTATATGACTATTTCTTATAATGCATATGAATAGATACGCTTAAGCCAAAGGGATCTCCGATGACTACGACAGACATGGTTGGGGAACTTGCTACAAGAATTCTATTAGAAATGTTCAAGGTGTTGTATCGGGTCGGTCAATTAAGAAATGCAAAGAAATGGTGTTTGAATGTTTCTGATTTGTCTATGATTGTCTAGCTCCATGACGTTGTTCGAAATGAAATATTGGATCAAGTATTAAATCGTATTATTGGAAAGTCGACTAGCGTTACATATTTCTTACGTTTATTGGAGATGATTGTGTATGAAGCTCCTCAGGCGTTACATAGCTACTTACCGCGGGTAAGTTATTGTCATGCGAGATAGGATTTAGTCGATTCATTAACTGATATCTTATGCGTTATTATGCAACAGATTAAAGAAGCCTTCGATTATTTGTCATTACTGCCATTAACAACAGCCAAAGGACTGTTGACAGCAGTACAACCGATAGTGTATATGAATCAATCTTTTCGTGATAGCCTCATCCTCGTATTGCGTAAAGCCATGTTCTCCAGGTATTATTTATTTATCCGATACTGACAATTATCCGCTTTAATATTGATGATTATCTGTTGCTTAGGGATGTCTCTGGTAGACAGATTGCCGTGACCGGATTATTAAGTCTTTTGAGAATGACTGTTGTAACGAGTGCAAATGGACAATCTTCCGAGTCTGCTGCAACGTTTTCCATGTCCAATCCGGATCACCACATTCAGGCTCTTGCCTTAGAGATACTTGGTATACTATGACGCAGTAATTTATAACATATGCAATGTGTTGCGACGCATCAAATATAAATAACAAATATGAACATACCGTTTGATGATATTAGGAATGCTACGCAAATGCTTCAGTTTACAGCCTCAGATTAGACTTGCCCTATACGAAGGCCTGATGAATTTAATGGATGTTCGTCACGATCTCAACCGCACCATATTTGAGACGATATATCCTCATGTGAGTATGCGCTCTCCAATTATTTTTGCACCTCACTTAATAAGTAATCACGCGTTCTCTTCTGGTAGTTTATGAAATATTTTGAAATGGAAACAAGTGTTCATGCTACGATTAAACTCGAGACTTGTATTGACGCGTCTAACGAGGAGCCGACAATAATTGAGCCATTGCCTTACCTACTTTCATGTCTGAGCAAATCCATTGCATTGATGTCAAAAAATAACGACTGTAGCGAAAATGGTAAGATACTTATCAATCTCAAGTGGTTAGATAAAATGAGCATAACTGTAGTTAGGTTACATAGACTTGTCTAATTCGTCTATATTCTCAATAACAGACACCTTTGAGGAGGAACAATTCAAAGGATGCAGAAATCAGCTGCAGTTGCTCACTGACAGATTGACGAAATCTGATATGACTGATTTGTCGGTTGACCCCTGTGCCGATTTTAATATTACTTCTAGCGAGGGTATTCGGAATAGCATTATTGTTTCTTTATTACTAGGATGTTACGAGGTAATTTTGATATATCGTTTTTATTAGCAAATTCGACTCCGATTCGTGATAACAATTTTTGCATATAGGCTATGATAGAACACTGCTACTTCTGTAATGACAACATTGTGGATGCAGCAGAGAACATCTCCAAACTGTTCAAGCGATACATGGCATTGCTCGATTTACTCAAGGAGAAATCAATCAATAGCAAAGGTAAAGATTTGCATCGTAACTCGCTATATTGAAAATATTAATCTAATCACATCTTTATATTCTTCACAAAAGGACGTAAAATGCACACAGCGAATGTAGATATATCCACACTGAGCTTCCGGTGCATAGCTGAACTATGTCAATTCACGTTTGAGGACAGTAGCACTACCACTGTGAATCAGGCAAAGAAAATCTTAAGAAGTGATACCGACTTTGTAAGATATCTCACCACAGCAGCTCATCACAAGATATCGGAGGTAATTTTGTCACTGCTCAGATTCATTTTTATTCGTCATTAATTCGCTACTGTTTTTGTTTAAGATGTTATCTCGACTTGACTCTGAAGACGCATCTAGCTTCGACTATTGTGTATCAATGGCGAAGGTGTTTATGAATGAATTCATAAGAAAGAATAACGAGAATATCAGTACTCTATATATATCTGACAAAAAAGAGAAGGCATGTAAATGACAATCGTATATCGTGGAAATACATCAGCATTGTTCGCCGCTTTTGATCATCAATAATTCTCACAAATTTCCTTACATCACAGGGTAAATCTATTCTCACCATAGTTATCGAATGTTTTACACTTTTAACCGAAGCTGTTGCTACCCATTGGCCAGAGAAACTGGTCGAGTTTCTCTCAATGGTATATCCAACTGACGAGAAAGAAGACATTACTCATACTGACCTGAATAGATGGCTTGGAGCATATACTGTTGAACTTGAGGTAATATCGCATGTATATATCCGTTTGATAAGTCTGCTGTAGCGGCGCACTAATCATGGTGATTTTCTAACCTACTCATATCCTGCCTATCAGCGTCTGATAATGACGACAATAGATGAAAAAACTCCGTTAATAAAAGAAGCCTCAAGTCTATGTCAAACGTTATCTTTGTTCGCAAAACAATACAAGCGTCCAAATCAAAACGACTCTAAAGAACACTTGGAACAATTGATCACATGGCTTCGTGACCTCTGTTCGGATCGTGAGATAGACGATTCGAACTTAGCTAAGAACTTTGTAAGCCTGCTAATTAAATTGGAGCAAGAAATCGGCAACTTTAATATTACGGCTGAGTTTGCACAAGATGTGTTGACAGTGTGGGGTGAGATTGATGCGGAGGCATACGAATCGAATATTGTGAAGCCAAAGTATGCCATCGTAAATGCTAGAACAGTCGTACACGTCTGTAATGTGTTAATAGCTTTCTTAATGGAGACTATGGATGATATTGATTGGTGCTTAGGGAGACTAAAGGGATCTGGTATGTAGATGAAATTGTTGCGCTGTCAAACAAAATGCTATTCTGAAATTTTCGTAATCACACCAGTCGAAGGCGTATCGACTGTATCTCCTATTTGTAAAAAGCTTGAAATAATGATACGCGCAATCGTATCTTTGGAACGAGCATGCCTGCCAATATCTTCGGCTGAACACTTGATCAAGTGTCTCATAAAGACATATAAAGTGTTAGCAACATTGACTAAACACGTAAGTATAATTAGCAAAATTAGTTGCAGAGTTCGGTGAGGAGTTAATCTAACTGTTTGTCGGTTATTTAGATGATTACGACTGGCGGAGACACTCCTTCACAGTTTGTTGATATAATAAAATTAACTGGTGACCAGTTGACTGAGAACTTTTATACACTTCTCATGGCGTTCGGTCAGTTAAATAGCGACGGAAGACAGAAAAGCAATAACGGGAAGGGAAAGAGCAAGACTACAAAGGTATGATAAACATTACGCATACCAGTAATAAAACTAGATGATCATTTATTTTTATTGATAGGCTCGAATAGCAAGAGAATCCAAGCTCGTTCCCAACGCAGTATTTACTCACGAACAGTTTGAGAAGTCAATCCTCCAATTATCCAAGAAATCGAAGGTCTTGTCTTTTTGGGAAATTTGAATTAAGGTGTATTGAGGTCTAACTATTTATGCTGTTTATAGACAAACCTTATGCAGTATATGAAAAGATCTACAGCACGTGATTTCCGTATAAAGGTAAAGAAGATTGATGTCAAAGAACAGCACCTACAGCTAAATAAACCCGATCAGAAACCCGACAAGAAAACCAAAAAGGTTGGTTAATGCAGTATTACTATCGCTCAAGTCAATCTATATAATTTAATAATCTATTGCCATCCTTTTATTAGAGGACAAATCCGGATAGGGATAATAAAGACGTTGTTGATACAAGTGAAGCAGGAAAAATTAATCGAAAATTGAAGAAGAGTCGTTCTGAATAATTAAACTGTATTAATAAAATTTTTTCATACAGATAGCATAGTAACAAAAATCTATCATACATTACTACATTGACATTGACATTGACATTGACATTGACATTGCATTGACATTGACTATTAAAAATTATGATACACCTTCAAGTTTATAAGGCTTTAAATTAACGTTATTTTTTCTCATGTCAGAATATGTCTCTCTTTGCCATATTTCCTCGGGAGAAGGTTCCGTAACATAAGTGCCCGGAGCAGAAGTAACAGTCGGCTGATCAGTTCTGTCAACGTCAGAAGCAATCTCCCCATTTTGATTGAACGGTCGTTGTGGTGCCGGATTCTGATGAGACGCCTGCGATGGTAGTCTCTGTCGATGCTTTTTCTTCAAGTCTTTATTTGTTGGTCTATGCATAAACGGCTTTATAATATGCTCAAAAATCAATGTTGCACCTTTCGATCGATCGTTTTGTGCCCAGTATAACAAAACTAACTTGAAGAAATTATAACCTGGAAATAATTCGAGCAACCAATTTGACCAATAGTCTGCTACTTGTAGCCATCCGTAAATAGCCCAATAAGTTAACCATTGTCTCTGTTCAGCAGCGACTTCTCCCTCAACAGGGTCCGCATGATCGATTGCTTTGATGGATCTGTATGCTGGATATACAACTCCGACTAAATTACATAGTAAATATACGGATCTGACATACATTCTCCTTATCGTTATCAAAGTCAATGCTGCAAAGAACAGAAACACGTACAAAGGCGGTACACCCCACCGTACTAATGTTTTATGCATCCGCGTTTGAGTACACCATCTCTCTAGTTCAGAGATCCTCGATACTAATTGTTGTCGAATAACCTCGGTTAGCGGTGATAGATTTAACGGACTACTGAACTCGAGCTTTGTCAATGCCTCTTCCAAACAAGCTGTAGCTGTCAATGGTTGGCGAGGTTGTTTCTTTTTTGTGGAGCTTTCCGTCTCAATGTCTGTTATTGTTCTCATAGTAGTTACGTGGAAAGCCTGAAAAATCAAACGACGTTATTGTCCTTTTGATTGATTGATATAATTTTATCACGTGACATTAGACAAATTTCGCGTCGAGCTTGATTGAACAACCTGTCGTTACTCCTCATCATGGAACCAGAGATAAAGACAGAAGATGATATGCATGGTTGACATAAAGACTTGTATTTACGCGTCAATTGTTATTTTAATCAACTGTTTGTACTAATAACATTATAATTTTGCGTAACTGACCTCAAGTCGATGCTTCCGAGTTCCAGCCCGTGGAAGAGAGTCTATCTGCAATGCAACTTGAGCAACCGCAGGGAACAGGCCTTGATGAGAGAGATATGCCAGTTCATGAACTGATGGGGGTCTTTTATCAGCGAATTTTTCCATACAAAACTTACTATCATTGGCTTAATTATGATACGGGTATGTGTTGACAATGTTAATAAGCGATTGAGCTCAGATCGTAGACAGCTTATTGGTTTTTCTTTCCGTCTTTGCGACAGTCCCCACAAAATCGTTTACAAATCGTGAATTTAGTTTTAATCTGCCCAACGACGTCTACGTGCGATACCAGTCATTCAACAGTCACGAGGAATTAAAAGCAGAATTACTAAAAGAACTTCCATCAAAGATTGATATTGGAGCTGTATATACGATCAAGGTAATAACACTATACGAATTTACGTCATGAAGCAATTATTTCATGTATTGCATGGGTTGCATATTAATATAGGTATGTATTATCAGCCAAAGGAGAAGAAGACAACTCGACCTGGGGCATTTGTGCCAGTTGAGAAGGAACTAGTGTTCGATATTGATATGACTGACTATGATGAAATACGTAAATGCTGCAGGTGAAAAAAATTTTCTGGATGTCTAGATATTATTCTTGATTATGTATCTCATTTTATGATACCACATTTTGCAGTGGAGGTAATGTCTGTATAAAGTGCTGGCAATTTATGACCGTTGCCATTAAGATCTTGGATCGCGCACTACGAGGTTGGTATCAACGCTCTGTTAGTCTAACGGTTGTTTCTGTTGCTGAAGTCTATGTCTATGTCTATGTCTTTGACGAACAGATGATTTTGGCTTCAAGTATTTACTTTGGGTATATTCTGGTCGACGTGGTGTACATTGCTGGATCTGCGACGAGAGAGCGCGAAAACTTAGCAATGAAGCGAGGTCAGCCATAATTGCATATCTTTCGGTGATAAAGGTGAGATTATTGCGTATTACTACAATTTTCAATTCTTTTAGTTTGGTGCGCTTTTTGATCTTTATCGCAATGTAGGGTGGTGCACAACAAGCCAAGAAAGTATTCCTTCCGAAAGCGTTGCATCCCTCATTACAGTAAGTTATAACCATATTCCGTTTGGGTTTGTGCGTGAAATAATTTAACGGGTTTCGGCCGTTTTTGGATAATCAGGCGGTCCGCCGACATATTACGAAGCTATTTTCCTCAGATAGTGTTGAAAGATCAAGACTTATTGAACGATGATGAGGGATGGAAAAAGATTCTCCAATGTATACCTGACGAAGGTAAGATAATGTTCGCATGTTAGAATAAATGGCTTTATGATAATGTTCGATTCCATTTACATAATAACAAGAGACACGGAAGACTCTTTCGGATGCCTGGAATGCAGATCCATCACGAACGTCTACGGATAAGTGGACAGATCTGGTCTCAGAATTGGACAGTGCCATTGGAACACTCAAGAAGGTATTGTCTCAGTAATTCTACTTGGATATTCCCGTATCATGTTAATAATGAAGATGTGCTTAATTACAAGAATCCAAAAAGAGCTGATGCTCTTAAGAATGTAGAACTAGAAATAATGTTCCAATATACATATCCGCGTCTGGACGAGAATGTGTCAACCCACATAAATCACCTGTTAAAAAGTCCATTTTGTGTGCACCCAAAAACAGGCAACGCTTTTGAAACAACGCACTTGTTTTGTACGTCCTTTATTTGTTTGTTTGTTTTATTAATTTAGGTTTTTCTTTCACAGGACGAGTCTGCGTTCCAATCGACCCCGAAAAGTGTGAGAACTTTGATCCACATGAAGTGCCCACAGTAGCTGACTTGCTATGCGAATTGAATAAGTACAGTGGAAACGTCCCTGTTAAAGAAGAGGGAGAACGGAAGCTTCATGGTAAGGTTAACAAATGCAAACATGTCAACACGCTGTTACTTGATCTGACGAAAATCATCGCATCGATAGATTATGAAAAGACTTCACTCAAACCCTACATAAAGTATTTTGAGAATTTTGTTCAGGGAATTTTTAGGGAGGTTAGAAATAAGAAACGAGGTAAGTCTATTAGCGATTAACCTTTCACGTTTTAGAACAATTACTAACAGTTACCTAATATAGCTGCCAGCATCAACGATATGGAATTTTAGTTTGTAAGTATTACGGCGGTACTACCTTTAATATTTCCTGCATGTAAGAATTTATCTGATGTAAATAGTTCATAAGAAACCAATAAACAGTAAGTTTTCTTGAAACATTCCTTATGAGTGGTCTTGACCGGTCCTAACTTAATATTGGCCTTCAAATGCAAGCAAAGAAGATCAAGGACAAGAACGTTGTAGAAATGAATATTGATTGATTCCAACAGAAGCGCCGGGTAGAATTGATCTTGTCCATTAATTCTCGTAATTGGCAAAAATATACGCGTGCTCCTCCGTTGTATCCTACGGATTATCGGAACCAATCCCACCGATTTAAAGTAGACAAATAATTGTAGTGCATTGACAATCGAGATACTAATCGATTAAATGGGAGAAATCGTGGGAATATTTAAGTCCGAACACCATTTTACTAGCTGTATTAGTTTCAACATCAGTTGGAAAACAGCCTAAATTAAAATTTTATCGGTATAATAAAGAAAGAAATTTCAAGAAAGGGACTTCTAATGTGACTTGCAGTACATCTTGACAATAAGTATGAAGAGTTAAAAAAAAATTGACGACAGTTTATTTTTAAAAGAACTTGAACGGTACGTGCAAAAGCTTGTCATTTCCATAATTTACGCAAACTCTCATTTTGTTCCTCGCCTTTCTTCATAACTTTTGCTACTGCCATTTCAAAATCCTCCTGAGTAACGTGTACACGGCGTTCCCTGAGGGCATACATTCCCGCCTCCGTGCATACAGCCTGTTTACATTAAAAACCATAGTCAACATCAAGAGGATGATAATTTCATAGCGAATGTTAGCTGAAAACGACGACGTTATAATACCTTGACTTCTGCACCGCTTGATCCAGTCATTTTCTCAGCGATCTTGCGTAGGTTGATGCCTCGTGTCAAGTTCATCTTCCGTGAATGAATTTTAAGAATATCTGCGCGTGCCTATATACATATATCAAAATTAAATCGGCATATACCGAAATAGCAAACAAGTAGGGTCATTCATATGTTAAGAAACCATCAAAACTGACAGCTGCCAACAGAAACTTTAACTACTCACTGCTTCAGACGGTGGTGGGAACTCGATCTTTCTGTCGATACGACCAGGTCTTAACAGTGCGGGATCAAGAATATCGATACGGTTGGTAGCCATAATAACCTACATCACACTCAACAATGTTAACATTTACACTTGTTGCTCAATTGCGACATACTGCAAAAATAAGCACGCACTTTTATGTTTTTTGTTGGTTCAAATCCATCCAGTTGGTTAAGTAATTCAAGCATAGTTCTTTGCACTTCGGAATCGCCTCCACCTGAACCCGATTCTATACGTGATGATCCAATCGAATCAATTTCGTCCATGAATATGATAGATGGCGCGTGTTCTCTGTAACAAGTTGTGACGTATTAGATAGAATTGCTTTCCTCAGAAGATATGAAAAGACACCAGGAGCACGTATTTACCTGGCCATAACGAATAATTCTCTGACCATTCGACTGCCTTCTCCGATATATTTCTGCACTAATTCAGAGCCGGAGACACGGATAAATTTACAATCTGTATGATGTGCTACGGCTCTAGCCAGTAGTGTCTTTCCAGTGCCAGGCGGACCATAAAGTAATACACCCTAAAGAATATATATAAAAGATAGTTTAATAACAATAAAACGTATGCTTTACACTTCAGTCGACTCATACAAACTTTTGGCTGTGCAATGCCCAAGCTCTCAAATAATTCCGGGTGCTTCACAGGCAATTCTATGACTTCCTTAATCTCCTTAATTTGTTTGTCCAACCCACCAACCATCTCGTATGTTGAATCAGGTACTTTTTCTACCATCATCAAAGATACGAGTGGATCTACTTTGTTTGGTAAAATTTTGTGCAAAGTATATGAATCATTACGTAGAGCTACCCGACACGTAGCCGTGATTTGATTAATTTCAATATCTGGGGCTATATCAACCACGTATTTGCCTTCCGGATGGACCTGTTATACAGATCAATAAGTCAATATTTGTAATCAGAATTGAACAATAAAAAACAATGATCAATTCAACAATGTGCTCCAATTACTTACCTTGACGAGAACTTTCTTTTTGCCCATAAGCTTCACAACTTCACCAACATATGACCCTGGCTCCTGGAGTAGTTGTAATTCCTCCCTAAGCAGTCGGACTACACTTGTCATTTCATACAAATTGTCAATTAGCCTTAGCTCTTGTCAATCTTCAACAACACTTGACCAGAACCCTGTCCGGGTTAACTATGTGGAACATGCTGGCTTTAAGCCCGATAAATGAATGAAGCTTTCAACGCAATCCCGAATCTAGTTTTTCCAGTTAGCTGCTTGACATACCCTTTGCGTTGAGAGCATTCCTCTGGGCCTCAAGCCGTCTCAAATTCTGGGTTTTTTCATTGGTCGAGAGCTCGGCCTCTTCAATTTTTGCTTGATAATAATTTTTAATTCCTTCTTCGCTCATTAGATCTAGGATTAAACGAGGTGAAAAATTTACGGATACTTTCACCACAAAAAAAGTGGTCATCGATGACGCACGCCCTAAACGTCAACAATTTTCACTATTACCAATTTTGTGGAGAGTTTTTGTATTAGCGTTAGGAAACTGCCGAAACTGGGCAGATCTTGGATTTTGTCAAACTGGCAAATGGGCTGTAAAAGGAAGTTTGCTGATATTAACGTCTACAGTTAATTGTTAATGCCATGACGTAATGGAGATCATGGGATGAAATTGTTACACGTATGAGATAGCAGATAAGGCACCAATCGATCATACCTTCCTCACCGCGGCTTAAAAATGCAGATTTGTCGTCAACGACAGTCCAGGCAATCGTAAAATCACGGCTACAAATTTAAAGACATTATAATGCCTGGAGAAGCCTTACTCTTCCTATTTGGCACTATTATAGCTGCCGCATTGTTGTTCATAATGGTTTTTTTCGTATCCTTTATTTAAAATATATCCGAGAGGAAAGTGTACAGTGTTGTCCCACTAAGCTAAACGTTTAAAACTTATATCTATTAGTCATGCAGTTGTTAGTTTCTCTTAATAACCCACCTGATTTATGAATGTAGTCTTTTATATCACAATTAAGTTGAAAATCTCTATGCTTAACTCAAC